CAGCATTGGAAGATCCACCCCCAAAAGTCATCATTTTAACAGAGGAAAGGAAAAAGCCATATGATCCTGTCACTAGTTAGAGAAAAAGTATTGGATCAAATTCTACAAGACTATAGATTATTGACCAAGCTTAATGATGTCATCCATATGCCCTTGCTTCTATCAGATCAATATTAGCCAAGCAGCTATACTTGTAATCTTAGTACAGTTAGAAAGAAAGGAGTTGAATCATTCCCTTCATTCAACTGTCAATTCCATACCACCCTAATGATCTCTGGGCTTAAGCTCAGGAGGCTGCAGATAATGACATCAGACAGATGGTGAGAGGCACCTTGGATCAGAGGTGTCTAACCCTACAAATACTGGAAGGCTGAGTTATCAGGGTGTCTCCTTTTCCCCTTTTACACTTGAGCCCTATTTCTCCTTCCCATTTGAGTACCTTTTTCTTTCACCCTCTTTGTCTTTGCCCTTCGCCCTGTTCGTGCTACCATCCCATGATCTCCAATAAAGGTAGCTACTTACTAAATAAAAAGAAAAGAGGGCCAGGGATTTAGCTCAGTGGTGCTGCCATCTGCCTCGAAAGTGCAAGGTCCTGAGTTTGATCCTTGGTACCAAAAAAGAAAAAAGAAAAAAAAGAGAAAAGATGTAGAATTGAATAATCATTTAAATAATTTCAAAACAAAATATCAGTTTATCAACTGCAACTCTACTTGGATAAGGTTATTGTATAAATTGCATTTTATGTGGGATGTAAATGCATGTTTGTTGTTTCTTGTTTTTGTTTTGAGACAGGTTCTTTTGTTGTTGGTGGTGGTGGTACCGGGGATTGAACTCGGGTCCTTGCACTTGCACAGCAGGCAGCGAAACCACTGAGCTAAATCCCTGGCTTGAGACAGGTTCTTGCTATGTAGTCCAGGCTGGCTTCCAACTCACAGTTGATCCTCCTGCCTCAGCCTCCCCAGGGCTGGGATCACAGGTGTGCAGGACAGCTGGCCTACTGTGTTTAATATTGTTGCCCCTAGGCGGACACTGCTGGAGTCCCCAGGGTCCTGCGAGGGAGTAGCAGAACACAGCCGGCCACAGGGTCCCTACCAAGGGCTCCAGGCGGCTGCTGAGCAGCTCGCACTTGGAGGGAGTCTCAGGCTGTGCTGCCGCCTCCTCTTGTTCCCCTCTTCCTGTGGGCCCCGGAGCTTCGCCAGTGGAGGTGACATTCATCTGCCACGACCTCAGGGCGATCTGGACGTGGTGTGTCCCAGGAGGCCCCTACACCCCAGACCTGCTGAGGGGGGCGGGGCTGTAGAGAAGGGCGACTGCAGGCTGGGCCCACTAGGGGCATTGGGGGGCGGGCAGGGTTTTGAGTGGGAAGGCAGTAGAGTGGGGGTCCTGAAGGAGGGGGAGAGGCCGGGGGTGGTGGCCCACGCTTGTAGTCCCAGTACTGAGAAGGCTGAAGCAGGAGAGTGGCTGAGAGTTCAAGGCCAGCATGGGCTACATAGGGAGACCCAGGTTCAAGACAGAAAAGAATGGAGACTTCCAGTTGGAATTTAGTTTCAAAAGAAGAGGACGGATACCAAGAGGCAGCAAGGCAGAGTGCCCGGCAGCCTGCCAGCACCTGCTCAGGGCGGAGGGGCGGGGCCAGCACTCAGCCCCCGTTGGGTCAGGTCAGAGTTAGAGGAGGGGGCTCGTGTTGGAGACCAAGGCCGGCACCCAGGGGCATGGACAGGGCTTTTTGAGGGGCTGGAAATTTATAAGGTCTGTGTGTGAGTGGTAGTGAGGATTGAGTCCAGGGCCTTGAGCATGCTAGACAAGCACTGTGCCACTGAGCCACATCCCCAAACATTTTTGTTTTTTAGACAGGGTCTCACTATGTAGTTCAGGCTGGCCTTGAACTCACTATGTAGCACACGCTGGTCTCAAACTCTTGGCGATCCTCCTGCCTCAGCCTCCTGAGTGCTGGGATCACAGGCATGCGCTGCCATGCCCAGCTATGATAGACATTTGTGTGTGTGTGTGTGTGTGTGTGTGTGTGTGGTACTCAGGATCGAACTCAGGTCCTTGCACTTACCGAGCAGGCGGTGGAACCACTGAGCTAAATCCCCAGCCCAGACAGACATTTTGTTGAGTGGAAGCAACTACACCTCAAAGAGTATACACTGTACTACTTTTTTTGGGGGGGGGGGGTTGTAACAGGATCAACCTTGGGACCTTGCGCTTTAAAGGCAGGTGCCAGAACCACTGAGCTAAATCCCCAACCCTGTATTACTCTATTTACTTGAAGTGCTAGGCTACACTCACCGCCTGGACCTTGTTAAGCTTTTTTTATTTTGCTTTTTGAGACAGTCTTGCTCTATGTGCCCCAGGCTGGCTTTGAACTTCCAGAGGGCCTCCTCCTGTCTCAGCCTCACAAGTGCTGTGATTTTTTTTTTTTTTTTTTGGTACAGGGGATCGAACTTGGGTCCTTGTGCTTGCCTTGTGTGGCAGGAGGCAGCACCACTGAACTAGATCCCCGGCCCTCCTATTTTCTTTTTATGTAACTTTTCTTTGTATGCTGGGGATCAAACTCAGGACCTTGCGCTTGTGGGGCAGGCATGGTATATAACCATTTATTTTGGGGAATATTATGATTATCTTTTAGTGCTTGTTTAGATTTTTGCTTAGGTTTTATTTTGTACCAATTATTGTTTTTTCCCATTTGTTTTACTAGATCTATAAAGGTTTTTTTCCAAGAACACATAAATACATCAAGTAGTTTATCAGTTCCGTTATTTTTCTAGAGACCTCTAACACACATTCTCTTTTCTGTCCCAATTTATCTTGGTTATTCCCTGTCCTGTTATTCCCTAGTGCAAAGTTGTACTGAAACTTCCCTTCATAATTTGCCTATACTGTATCTCTTCTAAATTCCTTTATTGTTTTTCTCGTCTCTGTTTTCCTTCCTCTAATAATTTACTAGGAAAGGGTATTTGAGATAGATGTTTCAGTCATTCTGTGTCTGAAAAATATCTTTGTTCTAGTTTAACATCAAAATAATAGTTGGCTGGGGTAAGAATTTTAGACTTTTCTTTCAGAATTTTAAAGATATTTTTTCATTATCTCCTAGCATCTTGGTTGCTGTTGAGCAGTTTGATGGCATCACATTACAACCTGATTTTTCTTTGGCATTACATTATAACCCAGTTTTTCTTTATGAAAGATTTATAATTTTCTTTTATGCTTGGTGTTCTGAAATTTTATGCTATGTTTTGACATAGGTCTTTTTTCACTCCTTATGCTGGGTACTTGGTGGTCCTTCCAATTTGGAAACTAATGTCCTTCAGTTCTAGAAGTTGCTCCTATGCTATATTTCAAATTATTTCTACTCTTGTTTTCTCTGTCCTCTTGTTTTGGATGTTAGACCTTTTTGCTTAATCAAATCAGATATGCATCTTTTATTTTTTATTGATTTTTTTTCCCCCACTTTTGTTTTTGACACAGTTTTGCTGTACATTCTAGGCAGGCCTTGAACTCACCATGTAGCCCAGGCTGGCCTGAAACTTGAGGTGATCCTTCTGTCTCAGCTTCCTAAGTACTGGGATTACAGGTGTTCACCACCGTGCTAGCCTAACTTTTCTACCTTTTTAATACACTTTCCCTTCTTTCTGAGATATTTCCTTGTTTATAGCTTCCATCTCTTTGGTTGAAATAAAAATAATAATAAATAAATAAATAAGTTAGTTTGTTTTCCAGTATTGAGAATTGAACCCAGGGCCTTGCATATGCTAGGCATGTGGTCTACCACTGAGCTATATCCTAGGCCTTTTTAAAATTTTATGTTGAGACAGAGTCTTGCTAAATTGCCCAGGCTAGCACCAGGGATGTAGCTCAGTTCGATTCCTGGTACTGAGAAAAATAAATAAAGTGCCCAGGCTGGCCTTGAATTTGGATTCTCCTGCATCACCCTCCCTTGTAGCTGAGATTACAGGTATCCTATCAGCTCACATTTTTAATTTAATTTGTTGCATTTCTAATTATTTCTTGGTTTCCAGTGGTTTATTTGAGGCATTCTACA